GTCGGAGGAACACCGGGTCCCCCAGATGGGCGCCGCTGTTGGCGGGGCCGGGGGGCGGGTCGGAGGAACACCGGGTCCCCCAGATGGGCGCCGCTGTCGGCGGGGCTGGGGGTCTGTGCGGTGCTGCGCCCTGCCTTCTCCCTGACGAGCCCAGACGTGGTGCTGACTGCCGGCCGAAACAGGACCCTGGAGGTGGTGGACCTGGCCGCAGGCTGCAGCGCAGCGGTCATCGCCGAGGCCCACTCGCGGCCGGTGCACCAGATCTCTCAGAACAAGGTGAGTGTCCGCCGGGCGAGGCCAGGCTGGGCCGTGGCCGGGGAGCCCGCCAGCGGCCGGTCATCAGAGGATGCTGCGTCTGGACGACTGGCCCGGGCAGGTGCCCCGTGTCGCGCGTGTTGGTTCGTGCTGGTGTCCCTGGTGGCCTCTGGGCCTGCTGCCCGCCGACGTGGGCACCTCCCGGGTGGGGACCCTGCCTGGGTCCCAACAGGAGCTGGGGCTGGGTCGTGCGGTCACCAGGGGTGAGAGCCCGTCCTCCCTGCCCCACCCAGGGCTCTGCCTTCGTCAGCCAGCAGGCCCAGGCCTACAATCTCTTTGCCACGGCTGCTGTGGGGGACGGGGTCCGGCTGTGGGACCTGAGGACCCTGAGGTAGGCCCTCCCTCCCCCATCGCCGGGGCCAGCGGGGCCAGAGCCTGGGGAGGGGTGGGAGTGGGGGTGAGGGGCCCTGGGGCCCAGGTGTCCTGGGGGCCCAGGGTCTCAGGGTCGCGGGCCGTCAGGGGTGGGAGGGATCGGAGGGGGCGGGAAGGGGCCCCATGGCAGGTTAGGGTCTGCCCAGCGGGGATGGGTGCTGGACCCCAGTGAGGTGACGGTCGCCACACCCTGGTGGAGACTGGAAAATGGAAGGTCCTGACTATGGGGCCACATGGGGAACCGAAGTCCTAGAAGGACCCCCGGGTGGGGTGGGCGTGGCCTGAGACGCACCCCTGTCCCACAGCCTGTGGGGAGAGCGGGGGTGACCTAGGCACCTGCTGGCTTCTCCCGGCCCCGCCCC